ATTGTAGTAAATAAATGTTAGTGGGGAAGTGGAAACACCCCTGTATTATGTCAAGAAACTCTCACATCTTCTTGCCAATTAATTTTTGTGTTATGAAGCACCTCTAACAAAACCCGAATTTAACCTACTTTATATTCATAATGATTCATGCAAATTTACCTCCTTTTGAGGCAGGGGGTCAAGTGTTTAAGTTCATCCTATAATAAGTAATAATTGCATAGACTTCTGCTGTATAATAATGAGGCATGTTTTTCAGAGACATTCAAAATCAAGACCCACAAAAACAGACTATTTGTGGATTCAGTTCACCAGTGGCATATAAAATCCAGAACAGGAGAGCTGATAAGGGTCATAAATACATTTTCAAATTTAGCATTTACCCTCCCATAGTATGGTGTCTTATTTTTTAACGTTCAGTACTAAAGGAAAGGGATTAAATAGTTCTCACTGTATATACACAAAGACAATGTAGGCATGCACCATGAGAGCTGTATCTCTGGCAAAGAACCTCAACATAAATTTGCTACACATCTATTTTTCCAAATATAAGGCTTTCCTGGCAGGCAGCCAATCATGCAGGAATTGCCAACCGTTCTGTAGATAGGGCAATTATAATTCTCTGTGCACTGCTGCTAGACCACCTGCATGTTCACGTGTGATGTAAGTCAGATTTGAACCCAGCTCTCAGGAGATGAATGCCAACCCACTGCCATTTACTATCAGCCTATTTTATTATCTTTTATTATCATTAAGAAACACCATTTATAACCTGACAAACAACTAAGTGTAGTGGAAAGCTACCAGATGGATCTTGTGCTATAAAACTTGGAGTTGAGATGTTATATTAATTGGGAGGGGCGGGAATTATGCAAAGCCCATATTTTCATGTATCATGCTTTGCTTTCAGCATCATCTTATTGGAGTTGGAAGTGCATAATGTTTTGTGCTGATACAGAATGAGAATGTCAAATTTGTTTCAGATAATCCTGCCAATTATTTTCATGGGAATATGCCTGTAATTTGTTATTAATCAATTCAATTAGATCATTAAAATAAGTTTTTACTTTAAAAAAAATGGAAAATGAAAATTTCATGATGTCAAATGAGTCATCGTTTTCTCTTAAGAACTGAAAGTCTATCATCAGATAACAGAGGGGAAAACAGCTCCACCACTTACTCAGAAGGGCAGTTTAGACTGTTAGCTGTGGTGTTACTCTGTCTAAACAAAATGTAGAAAATTATGAAAGACTGTAACAGTTCTTACTGGTTTAGTCTAACATGCTTCAGTAAATGAAAACTTCTAGGAAATATTTTAAATGTGGCTACTTCTAACTGGGTGATATGCAAATAACTACATGCTGAAGTAATAAAAATAAATTAGTTACTTTGCAAACTTCCCTTTTAAGAGTCACCATACAGGATGATACATATTTCAAAAGAGCATAACACATTAAACTTCATCTCTATCTAGGCTCAAGAGTGAGAGAATTTTACATGGAAACCAAGTAATTCATACTGAAGAAACTAAATAATGAAAAAAAACTTTCGATGTCCAGAGGAACATGTTTGTTTGTTAACTTTGCTGCAGCACTGTTCAGGCAACAGCAAAACCAGACTTTCATAGTTCAAAGACAGGATACTCCCTATGTCACTTTCTTTTTGTGATAGCATGTACAAATCACAAAATAGGAGTTCAAAACATTGCCAATATGAACCACATTGCAAAAATGTATCCCATGCACACTTTTGAAAACATTAGTCATAACTGGGTAATTTTCTCACCCACAGCCGGGTAAGGAAAAATGCAAATAGTTTGAAACAAAAGATCATTTTGGTGCAAAACTGTGTCTCAAGGCTTCCAGAATAACAGGCAAGGGCATAAAGATATGCCTTAAATCAATAGCAGGAAACCAGGCAAGAGAAATATGTAGGCAGGAGCTCTACAGGGCAGCATGGAAACAAAGTAGATACTAAAAGAATATTATTTTCCGTATTTTCCCAGCAATTACCCTCCTCATTCAGAATCCCTAGGAAGTGACTGGGTTTTGTGCTATACTTTTAGCACTGGCATGTTAGAGTTTTGATTTCCCTGACCTGTGATTACAGAGGCACGAAATGAGGCGCCTGCCCAGCAGGCTTGTAGTCTGGATCCTTCTGGGATCTCCCGCGGCAGCGTCCAAGACAAGCGGGCAACTTCCAGACAAGGAGCAAAGGCGCAGGTGAGGGCTGGCGGCAAAGCAAGGAGCGGATGCTCCGCAGCCGCACAACCTACCAGCTCTGCACGTATTTACAGTGCGGCCAGTAACTGGGCTTGGGGTTGCTTTTTGGGGAGAGGGAGGTCTGGCCCATAACAGTAAGCCCAGCTTTTCTTTAAGTCACCAACTGCTTTGGAAATGACACAAATCAGGAGGCCGGTTGGGGTAACACAAATGAAGAGCTCACGTTTTGTGTGGGGAAAAACAAACAAGAAATGAAAGAGGATATTATGTTTTTCATGCAAAATGAAAAGTTTGTCTACGTGATTTCATTAACAAAAGACCACAACAATATGTATTCAGGTAAAGAGAACAACTTCTGACCTTGAAATTGCGTGCTAAATAAATTACCTCAGAGCGAAAGTGATGGGTTCTCATAACAGCATCTGGAAGGGAAGCAGAGAGACACACAGGCTCCACCAGATCCACCTCAGATTTCGCCCCGGCTAACGGTTTGATCGAATTCCTCGCCCTTTGGCGCATATTCCTGGACGGGGTCCGGCTCTCCCGGCGCAGCAGGCAGCTCCGCCCGCCATTTATATTTAATTCATCGGGAAGAAGTTAAGCATAAACTTCTGCTGCACTTGAGAGGCCGGGGAAGGCTGGGGGCTTCCCAGCCCCTCACTTCCCTCCCGCTAGCCGAGGTTTCGCTAAGGGATGGGTGGAGACAAGGCTGCCGCAGTCCTGGGCTCGGCTTGAATTTTCTTTAAAGCCTCTGCCCGGCTGCACGGAGGCAGAGCGGCCCTCCGCCGGCAGAAACGGCGGGATGGGCCGGGGACACCCCCCCTCCGCCCTCGGGGACCAGCAGCGTCTCTTACCTCGGCTCCTTGAGCGACCTGAAAAGACGGATTTGATGGGATGCCTCCCTTTCTGGAGCCTGCGGTGCCAGCAGCAGAAGAATAAAATCGTAGCGATGGTCCCCAGCAGCAGCAGGAGCAAGAAGAGGGCGCACTGGATGCTGTAGGGTCTCAGCAGGACCAGGAAAGCCGCGGCAATCATGGCTCAGAGAATATTTGTCTCAATACAAAATGAGATACAAACTATTAGAGGAGTACAGGAACACGAAATATAGAAGTCAGTCAGCTGTTAGTCTTAGCACACTGGCAGCTCCAACTTTGCTGCAATTCTGTTGCTTTTATGTGGGCTTTCAGAGGGGTAATGAAGAAGCTCCCAACTGCCAAAGGCCAAGGAGTGGAAAGCTCAAAGTACTTCATCTGAGAATCACAGAACTGCGTGATGGGGATTGCTGTGCTGTGTTGATTAGAGGTAGAAGTTAACATCTTCCTGCCAGATGAAAAATGTTAAGGAGACTGGGGCACATACTCAAGCATTTTGAAAAAGAAGAATACTGATGCTCAATGTGATTGCATGCACCAAGTTGTTTTAAATCTGGTATATTGCTGTTCAGACAAACATGCTGTTTCATTTTGGACCTCACCTATCCCTAGTGAGGTCAGTGCTGAAACTTTTTTCTTTGGGTTCTGCTTTGTCAAAATAAACATATAGAGTATATATAATGAATAAACATTCATTTGAATGATCCTTGTCTGTGGTACAAGGATCCACTCAGCATGGACTGGTGGCAGAATGAGGCCTCCAGTGATTCATACTAGGCATAGATATTCAGGCCACTTCCTTTCCAGAATTTACATGGGATGGATGTTTCCTGGTCTTTCTAATTCTCTTTAAAGAAAATTAATGTTATTTCTTGCAAATAGTCTTCTTTCTTCAGCAGGGCAGTACTTAACAATCCTACTGCTATCACACAACACATTCTGCATAAAAGATTTCATACTGTTCTTAATGCCGATTTCTTACGCCACCTGCCTCATTGTATCAGTAAATATGTTGACAACAGTGCAGCTGTCGTTCACAAATTACCAAGTTCACCCCTGTGTGAAAAGCCAGCTCTGTTGAGGTGTAGCACAGACATGGTGAATAGTGGTGAGCTGGGCTTCTGCAAACAAATTGACATTGCTTCTTAGAGCACTGCAGCCGTATTTTCTCACTTTGACATAATAGCC